ATATATATATATGTATATGAAGAGAATTGTAGGAGATAAGCTATTTTAAATTTATCTATAGATGATATTAGGTATAGATATTAGGAGGAGGCTTTTCACACAGAGGGTGGTGACACACTGGAACAGGATGCCCAAGGGACGGCCCACCCTGGAGGCATTCAAGGCCAAGCTGGATGTGGCTCTGGGCAGCCTGGTCTGGTGGTTGGCGACCCTGCACACAGCAATGGAGTTGAAACTAGATGATCATTGAAGTCCTTTTCAACCCAGGCCATTCCGTAATTCTAAACTGAACCTCTTCTCCTGCTTTAAGATCAACAGAATGCAAGGAATGCCTCGTTTTGATGTCACATATCTTGGCAGAGTTTGGAAACTGCAGCTGTCTTCTTGTGGTTGCTGTTGTTCTGTAGTCTTAAGTAGATGTGTGTAAAATGGTTATAGCACTTCAGTGCTCAAAAGGAGCTAATGAGTATGGTCTGTTTCCCCCCCCCGCCCCCCCTTTAGTCCATGGTGTAGGTTTCTTCATTTTTGTTCAGGGTTGGTTGCCAAACATATTGATATTTATCATATGAATCCCTATTAGCATATATATTAGAGTAAAAATGTAGAATTTTATATGTTACTATATCAAGACACGGAAATCTGAGCTGTAAAATGTAGACCTTGTTTTGTTTTGTATCTAAGATTGACAGGGTGGAAGGGGTTAGATAAACCTCAAGGTCACCCTGTGGGTGTTGTTGGTTCAGCCTGGATGAAGAAAAGAAATACAGCAGCCCAGATCTCGTCGGGCTACCAGACAACTCATGTCTGGATTTGTCAGCTGCTTAGCAGTAACCTTACCTACTGCATTTACATGCCTGCCATTTTGTGGGCAAAGAGTAGAGGAGAAGGCAGTGCATCTGAGGGCCAGAGGTATTTGTCATCCTTCTGAGCTGGTATAATTCATGCGGAAATGTGTTCTGTTTTTTTTTGTTTCTGTTTGGTTTTTTTCTTTAGCTTTTTTTTTTTTTTTTTTTTTTTTTCCCCCTAGCCTACTTGATGTTTAGTCTGATGTTTTGTAGAGCTCTTCTGTCAGCCATCTTACTGCCTTCAAGAATCCTCCTTGTTTGGGCAACAGGGCAGCGTCACCTGTAGAAATTTTGCTGCAGCTGATCAAATTAACTGTTCATTTACTATTAATTTCTTAACTTAGCCATTTCTGGGGGGTTGTGTTGCAGAAAGAGTAACCATAATTTCATGCTTTCAATACCGGACTGTTGGAATGGAAAATTTTTACAGAACAAATGGCTCATAGGGGTCAAGGCCAAAAAGAAGCATGCTACCTCTGATCTTGCAGAATCTGCAAGATCTTTCTCTGTCTACACTGGAGGACTGTTTACTTGATTGTGCCAATGAATTTCCTCTGAAGATTTTTCAGCTTTGACTAACTGAAGAAGTTGATAATATGTAAATATAGTAACTTCTTTAGTGTTTCTTCGTATCTTAAGTCTGGAGGTTATTTGATGTTTAGGAGCTTTCCAGGCCTACCAGAAAAGATGTTAGGGCTTCTAATTTATATTTAACCGGTCTATTGTTTATAAGAAGAAACAGCATACTTTCTTTCTGAGGAAAAAGAAAGAGTGGTGCAAGATACCTTTGAGAGACATTAGTTCTTCAGAAATGCAGTTGATGAGCTCTGAGATGGAGGGAGGTGTAATTCAGTGATAGAGGAAGGAAGTAGTTACTGTTACAGTTTAAATACTTGAGCTGTAAAGGATGTGTCTTTGGGAACTGTTTCTACTTCTAGCAAAGATGAACCAGGGTTTAATCAAATATTAGATACCACTAGAAGTCCTTCGTTGCTTCTGGGCTGGTTCTTAAGAATGAAAAATTATGCCTAAAATGCAAAGAGCCTTTTCTGATTCGATCAATGTACTGAGGAGTCTAGACTAAATGCTGCCAGAAACATGGCTCTTTGACAAATAGCTAGGAGACAAATGACTAGAGTTTAACAGATAACCAGAGGCTTACTTTGTTGGATGGAAGCTCTGTCTTTTTCTGTTGTCAAAAGATACTCAGGCAAGTGTCAGGCTGGCATATGTTTGTGAGGCAGGTTTTTAACTGGGCATAATATAAAGAGTGTGTCTCCTCGTATTTGCAGGAGCTGAGCCAGAACACACTGTTAGGGATTTAGGTTTTAATATACTACACTGCAGTGATGGGGTATTTTTGCTTAAGATTTGAGAACTGATGATGTCTCACCTCTTCTCCCTTCTCTTTCTACCAGGTATCTTATCTTACTTGGCTGACAGACCTCCGCCTCAGTACATCCATCCCAACACTATAAATGTTGATAGCAATCCAGCATTGTCAGTGCCCAGCAATCCCTCAGCCCTGGACCCCTACCAGCCCAGTGGAACTGTGGGGCTGGAACCAGGGATTGTGCCCATGGACTCCCGCACAGTCAATGCGCATGGTGCTCAAAACATGCATCCTAGCGACAGCCACGAGGTAGCTCTGGATAGTACAATCGCTATGGAGAGCGTTTCGAGGGTAACCAGCCCCATCTCCACAGATGGGATGACAGAGGAGCTTACAATGGACGACGTAGCCAGGGATCATTCGCAGATCCCAAATGGCTCCCGGAGCCATGAACCTTTGGCCGTAGACACGGTGGGAAGTAACTTGACGCCAGACGCAGTGGGGCACGGCGGTGTCATCCCCATTCACAGTAGCACTTTGGAACTCCCTGTCCCTGTCGTCATGGAGCCTGACCACATTGCTGGGCGGGTGGCGGGGATGTCGGACAGCACACTAAATGACTCCATTCATACCGTGGCCATGAGCACCAACTCTGTGAGCGTGGCACTCTCTACCTCACACAACCTCGCTTCCCTGGACTCGGTAGCCTTGCACGAAGTGGGCCTCAGCCTCGAGCCAGTGGCGGTGTCTTCCATAAATCAGGAAGTAGCCATGGGGCCGGGTCACGTGGATGTGTCTGCAGACAATCTTGCCTTCGTACCATCCTCTCTGCAAATGGAAGACTCCAATTCAAACAAGGAGAACATGGCAACCTTGTTTACCATATGTGAGTGTGTATTTGCTGCTTTCTTTGGGCAGGAGTTGTTTTGTAGCTGTTGTCGGGAAGGATAACGTAACTCTTGTTGTCAGTCTTACGGATTTCTGATGGAAGAAACGTAGCATTTAACAAGTCCTCACAAACTGGAATATTGATAGGCCAAACAGTAGGCACAGTAGAGTGTTATAGCATTGTTCTCTTTGTATCATTTTCCTCTGCTCCCTCGAGGTTGGAAGTTTAGCTCTTTACGATTGTGCCTTTTGTGGGTACGCTGATGCTGTCCTTTGCAAATGATACTCTTGTTTCTCAAAGTGACATAACAAATTACTCATTTTTCTCTGCTTAAAGAAGAAAACCAACAATACGAGCTGTGCATTTCACCAAGTGGTATAGCTGTTGAGTTTGATGTTGTCATTTCGTAAAATTGTTATTAAGCTTTGAACAGTCACTGTGGAAATGTTCTCAACAGGATTTATTGGAAAAAAAGAGCAGGAAGAGGGAGGGAAGTTTTTAATATTTCTAATTATTCTCATCAAAGGACTTCAGTACACAGGTTAGTTGATCTTTTAGGAGAAGAGAAGCAGCAGACATTGCACTCTCTTAATCCTCTCATAGTTAAAGGAGTTGTGTTTGAGGGGATGGAGATTTGAACTTCTATCCGCAACATATCTGGCTTCCTGTCCCTGAAGTATAAGGCCAGTGGCATTTATATTTGGTTCTGTCAGCTGTGGTAGCATTGCTGACCACCAGTTTTACACATGAACTGGACTTGCAGCTGCTTGTCTTTTGGTAAGGTTTGCTTGTGGAAAATTTTTAAGGAATTGAAAGAAATAGTGTCTGATCAGCAATGGGAGACGTGCAGTTTAATGTGTTATCTCCCGAGTCTAGTCAGGTACTTGAATTAAAATTTTTGTTCTTTGTAATAAGCTCTGACTTAAAATCAGATGTCTGGACTGTGATAAAGCTGCAACTCCTAGATGAGAAGTTCTGCTATGGATGCACTCAGGATTTCCTGCTAACGTCTGTTGCCTGTTGAAGTGATCAAAATACTATCATACATAACGTGCTTGTGATGAAGTCACTTATTTACACTGCTGACAATCTTGTTATCACTCATGAGACCTAAGCTGTTTCCCAGCTGGTGTTCCTCATTGATAGGATGTTACAATGGCTACTGCATGCCATATGATTTCATGTGATTTGAAATATAATCTTTGGCTTGGGAAGGTTTGCGTTGTATCTTGTTGTTCTTTTGTAGCTTTTCCTAAATAAAACATGGCTTTGTGCCCAGGCAAGTGACAGTAAGGAAGAAGAGTTGTATCAGAACCTCTTAGTTTTTCATCACTGAGAAGGCAGAAAAAAAAGTTTTTCAGAAAACTTTTTACACTGTTCCCAAGCTGGAAGAAAAAGGTGTGCATTTGCTACAGTCCTAAGTGATTGTGAAATGAAGGACTTCTTTAAAATCAGTGGTGCATGGTAGGCAAGGCTTAAAAACTAGTATGAGAAATAGTATTTCTTGTTACTTGGGTTGGGTGTAGCTGCTGTACTCTTACGTGTCATCTGCATACATGAAGTAATTCTATATAAGCTCTACTTGATGATACCCTGAGTGCCTTACTAGCTGTAACTGTATAGTTGCTCAAACTGTACTTTGTACAGAATCAGATTCTGGTATGCTAACATCTCTCTCCAAAAACCTCTTCTAAAGACTTAATAATGGACCTGTTTATGCATACTGAAGACTACTTCTGTGATAAGGTATTTTAAACTGCACTTGGACTGTCAAGGAGCTGAAGAAGGTCTTTGTGGAGGTCTGGCTTTATCAGTTGAGCACCTTTATTTAGAAGATAAACAATTTATCAAGGGTGTATTTACTGAGGTTGCTCCATTCGTGCAGAATTAAAATGACATCCTTTTTTGAGGTGAGAGCATTTTTATGATGTATTTTTGCCTGAAGTTACTGGACTGAGGACTTTCAGCCGCTTTGCTTTTTGGCATTGTGTGTGCCAAGTGATGGATTGGAAAGGAGGTGATGCTGACTCTTCTTGAACACTTAATTTGTTCCATTCAGTAGCATCTTGTAAAGGTGTACTCTGTGAGTGTATTGCAGTGGATCCTTCAAAAGAAACAGTGCACTGTCTGAATTTAAGCAGCAGTAAGGGGGTTTGTGGGTTCAGTACAAAAAAACATGAGGAAGAAAACCTTACTGTCCCTCTACATGAATATCCTTGAGGTTCTGCGTGCCATAAAATTCTTGTGCTCCTGGTAAATTCAAAAGCCATGCTCATTTAGAAAGCTTGTGGCTTGGCTTTTCCTGCCTTCCATTAAAGGTTATGTCACTTGTGAACAGAGCAAATGCAGCTCTTCTCCCATAAGCCTTATTGCCAGCTCTGGGGAAAAACACCCTCAGTTTTGCTGTAGTTTGGTGAAGAGGAAGGCAGGTGGGGATCTGCATGTTTGATCTGAATTTGATTGGAAGAGTGATATGTATGTTGGTGCCCAACTGACCGTAATAAAATTGCACACGGTATTCTGAGCAAAAGCTCCCAAAGCTGTTGAGTTGAACAAAATAGAAGCAGCCTTTGGCAGAAGCTGATCTATAACATATTGACAGGGAGCTGGTTGCTGTTCAGGGACTGTTGCATCTTTTTAATGCCTGTTGTCCTTTCCTCTCTCTGCAGGGTGCACACTGTGTGACAAGGCGTATCCATCCGACTGCCCTGACCATGGACCTGTCACCTTTGTCCCAGACACCCCAATAGAGAGCCGAGCCAGGCTTTCTCTCCCTAAGCAGCTTGTCCTACGGCAGTCTCTCATGGGAGCTGAAGTGGGTAAGAATCAGATTACTGTGTACTTCTGTGCAGTAGTTTAAAATATGCTCACTGCCTGAAATGCAGAACTGTGGGGATTTGAATGTGGGGAAAAAAAACACCGCAAGAGAGAAGTGGTTCCCTCTTCTATAATCATTCTGGCTTCTGTTGTTTTTGAATGTACAAGAACTACTTGTGCCCGGTTACTTTTTAGACTTCAGCTAGACTGTAGGGGTGCTGCCACACAGCATTACTGTAACATTTGATAAGGTCAAGTGCCAGCAAGGTATGATGTTTATTTTTATCATGTGCTAAATCTCCTGGGCACAGCATTGATTAAAAAAAAAAAAAAAAAAAGCAGCAATTGCAGTTTGGGGGAAGATAACAAGTAGAAATAATAGAAAATATTTCTGCCTGCTTGTTCATCAGCTTTATTTGCTACCTGTGGGTCTTCTGGATGCTCTCATTGGAGAATTGATCAAAAGTGCCTCTTTTTTTTTTTTTCCCCTTCATCTACATTTGGCACATAGGCTGACCTTGTCACTGGATGTGGACCTTGTAACAGTATTACACACCATTGTCTCCTGGAAATCGAAGAATAGAATGTAATACTCTAAGGATCTGAAGGCTAGAGAAGAGTGTGATTATTGGCTTACTTAGTGTTGCTGCTTGTTGAGAGTAGATTACATCTATTGTGTTGTTTTTCTTTTTAAGCTCCACTAGTTTCCTGAAAGCTGTTCAGTGTATTCATGTAGATCTCTCTCGATATAAATGTTTAATAATAAATAATATACATGCAGGAATCCCTCTGCCCATGACAGAAATACAGCTGCCTCTGGGGAGAAATGCAGAAGCTGCTTAACAATGCCCAGCAACAATTCTGGAAATTCCTGGGGATTAGGTAGGCAAAATGTAGTTACTGAAACTAGTATTTTCTGCTTCTGCAGAAAGTGCCATGAAAACTTTAATTGGTACAAGTGGCTAGGATCTTAGTTTTGTAGCTTACTAAAAAATAAATGACTTGCTTTTGGCAAACACATAAAGATTTGCAATTATAACAAAGCGGCTCCCAATAGTGTCATGTGGTGGTGGTGGTTCTTGTCTCTGCATTAGGTGTGCTCTACATGTGAAATAGAAGCTTTGATCTTATGCCTAGATATCACCCTCGGAGCATTATCTCCTAAATCTCCCACCTTTTTGTTAAGCGTTCTTAGTTGTTTAAATCATTGATTTCTGCAGATGTTGGTCTTCTACTGATAGGTGTGTGGACACGAGAAACCATTCCTGTAAGAACTTGTTTTGGACCTCTGATCGGGCAGCAGAGCCATTCTCTGGAGGTGGCTGACTGGACAGACAAAGCAGCTAGTCACATCTGGAAGGTCAGTGGGTGCCCGGCTTGCAGACTGCTGCGTGCCTTTCTCTGATGAAAGACACCACATGACGCAGCAGCTTGTGCATTAGCATCCTTGCCAAAACCTGAAACTAATGCAGTTTGATTGCTTAACACTTAGTATCAGCATATCACAGCTCTGTGTCATGTAGTATTCTGGTAATCAATCCTGACAACGGAGCTTCTTTTAATGCATTTGTGGTTTCCCATATTTATGTGAAGTGCCAGCAGAGATTGTATATTCCTAGACAGCACTTGTTTGTTTTGTATTGTTGTTTATTGAAAGTTCCCACTGGCGATAAATCATCTGTTGTCAGAAAGCTGCTTCAAAGGTTTCTTTGCCACATCATTTCATACTGAGAAAATAAAATTGATCTTTATAAATAAAGCAGGTATTGTTTGCCCAGACAGCATTATTTACAAGATTTGGCTTGTAAGAAAAATAACCAGATGCATTTCTGCTGGGAGCTGAAGGTGATGAGTGGGAAGGATGCTGATAAATAATTTTTCTAGTCTCCTGGATAGCAGACATGCCAAGATTTCTGTGTGAAGGGGAAATAAGGAATAAAAACAGGGCTGTGGCCTTGACAGCGGCAATAGAGACCTCCTGGCATGCTGCTCTAGGTAAACATATCCTCTCTTAGAGAAAGAAGCTCTTTCACTGTATTGTTTGCTGTGTTTTATCCTAAGATTGCCTTTGTTTGTTTTTTTCTGTTAGATCTATCACAATGGTGTCCTAGAGTTCTGCATCATTACAACTGATGAAACTGAATGTAACTGGATGATGTTTGTACGCAAAGCCAGGTGAGAGCCATCTATACCATGCTGAGTGTCTTAGAATCTGGGTTTATAGGAGGCTGTGCTGGAGATAACTCAGCCTGTTGTGCTGACTGCTCAGTTAGGTCATGAATTCAGCATCAGGGGACCCGCAGGAAGCATCCAGGCATCTTGGACTGGGTGAAGAACAGTGAAACAAAGTACCCAATGGAGAATGTTCTGGGGAAGCCAATACACATGCTGTAATAAAACCTGGTTGTAATGCTTTACCAGATTCTTTTTTTATATTGTTTGCTGTGTAGTAGTTTGTATTAGTCTTCCCTTTGTCTCATTCCTTTTGCATATATTTGTGAAGGCAGTGTTGATTTATTTATTTATTTTCATGGAATCATAGAATGACTTGGGTTGGAAGGGACCTTAAAGCCCACCCAATTCTAGCCCCCTACCATGGGCAGAGTTGCTACCCACCAGCTCAGGCTGCCCAGGGCTCCATCCAGCCTGGCCTGGAACACCTCCTTAGGAATGGCTCCCTTCTTTAAGCAACCTGTTCCAGTTCTTTACCACTCTCTGAATAAATAGTTTCCTCCTAACATCTAATCTACGCATGACTGAAGTGACAGATTATTTTTTTTTTAATGTGCTGGCAAGCACTCAGGTTCCCTCATTACTTATTTATAGAAATTTTCTTTTTCTTTTTTTTTTCCTGAGTATCCCTGGAACACTTTTTTTTCATAACTCTCCATATTGCTGTAGGAACCGGGAAGAGCAGAATCTGGTGGCTTATCCTCACGATGGAAAAATTTACTTTTGCACCTCTCGGGACATCCCTCCTGAGCACGAGCTTTTCTTTTATTACAGTCGGGACTACGCACGACAGCTTGGTAAGTAAGCACTCACCCTCATTGGCTTTGCAGGGTCTACCCAGCTTGAATTCCTTTTAGTGCCACCTCTGGGTACTGTGACTTAGGGAGTGCTTAATGTTCCTTGTCAGCAGTGCGCATTATAGTTTCTATTTCATTACAAAGGGAGTACCATTGCTTAAAAGAAATATTTAATTATCTAATTCCACTGATCAGGAGCACAAGATTGGAGCTTTGTAGAAAAAGGGCTGATTTTCTTCTGTTTATTTATCTAATATTAAGAGTGGCTTGTTCACTGAAAGGTGTTCCCATTCTCCCCCACCTTTGGTTAGGGTGCTCCAACCCATCCAAAGCTTTCCCCCTAAAGCAGTGGAAATGGCTATATAGAAAAAGCTGGAAAGCAAACATCGGAGCTGAAGGGAGCTGGAGTGAAAACCTCTTTAGGGTAGTAGAACCAGCTGAAGTGTTAATGTGGATCATGTTTGTTGTCCAGTTAGCCCTGGCTGTGCCTCACTGAAAGCAATGTTTTTGTGCCCAAAGGTGTCCCTGAACATCCGGATGTGCACATCTGCCACTGTGGAAAGGAATGTGCTTCCTATGCGGACTTCAAGGCCCATTTAAGCAGCCATATTCACAGCCACCTCCCCAGTCAGGGCCACAGCAGCAGCCACGGTCCAGGCCACGGCAAGGAAAGGAAGTGGAAGTGCTCCATGTGCCCCCAGGCTTTTATCTCCCCTTCCAAGCTCCACGTCCACTTCATGGGGCACATGGGCATGAAGCCGCACAAGTGCGATTTCTGTAGCAAAGCTTTCAGTGATCCTAGCAACTTACGCACGCACCTCAAGATACACACAGGTGAGGGCTGGGGACTTCATGGGTATCCTCTGAAGGGGAAACACTGAGGCAGGACCTGTTCTCTGATCCCTGGGCCAGCTCGCAGAGTGTGGCTTGTGTCCATAAAGCTGAGCTCTTGCATTGTTTCTGTTTAGCAGAAACGATTAGCAGCATCCTGAGTGTGGGTAGGAATTATCTCTGGTCTGTGCTGAGCCCAGCTAATGGCCCGGCATCACTGAAGAGTGCTGAAAGGTGTGGGATAGGACTGAGATGGATTCAGTGCTTGTAGGACGTTATTTAGCCCTATGTTCTGCCTGATGGTGCCGTGCTTAAAAAAGCATTTGATGAGCTGCAGTACATTAACAGTTGGGAAGAACTGTGAGGCTTCATTTGCAAGACAGAAACCCCTTGTTCTATCGTAGCTGCCAACAGCAAAGCTGCTGTGAGGGAACAAGTGTTCTCTTCTGCTTATGAGGGAAAAGCCAGCTGGGTTTAAAAGCTTGTAATGTGGACAGTTGCACACTTAAATGTGGGGCTGAGATGGTTTTCCTCATTCTTAGTCATTTCTCATCTGAAGCAAATGACACAAGACTGAAATTGGTGACTATGGGGTCAGACTGAAGTGGGTAAGACTCAGCTGTTTCACTCATCAAAACTCACCAAATCTGAACATGCTGATGGCCTCTGTGTGCATTTGGATATCACTAGGGCCTTTGGATATAAAGGAAGAATTGCCAGAAGATTAGTGAATGAAAAAAGAGAAAAATGAAAAGGGAAATTTTTCAGCTCTGTAGGAAGGTGACAAGGGGTAAGAAAGTGTATTTAACTTAGGGGGAAGAGAGGGGAGAGGATGTAGATAAGTACAGTCCAGCAAGAGGTAGTGTGGATATTTTTGCCTGTTTTTTCAGTACGGTTGAAATATCAGTTGGAAATCAAGGAGTGCAAATCACAAAGCTGGAGGGGGGAGTAAAACTCTTGAGTTCAGTGCGCTTGAATCAAGCATAGGAAGCCATGGGCTTGGTGCTGAACAGATGGAGTGTAAGTATTGTGTGTGTGACCACAGAAAGCTCACTGGGATAGAGAAACTTAGTGAGCTTTGTACATGGGTGTTATATGAGAGCTAGCTTTCTCTTTTTTTTACTTCAGACAGAGAATGAGGGGCATCCTATGCATGTGTTTGGGCTTGAGTAAGGTATCATGGTTGGAAGGGACCTCAAGGATCAGGAATCTCCAACCCCCCTGCCACATGCAGGGCCACCAACCTCCACATTTAATACTAGACCAGGCTGCCCAGGGCCCCATCCAGTCTGGCCTTGAACACCTCCAGGGACGGGTATCCACAACTTCTCTGGGCAGCCTGTTCCAGCACCTCACCAGTCTCTACGTAAAGAACTTCCCCCTGACATCCAACCTGAATCTTCCCTCCCTCAACTTCAAACCATTTCCCCTTGTCCTGCTGTTATCTACACTTTCAAAGAGTTGATTCCCCTCCTGTTTGTAGGTTGTAGCCTTTAAGTACTGAAAGGCTGCAGTGAGGTCACCCCGCAGCCTTCTTTTCTCCAGGCAGTGAGAATTAGTGGAGAAGGGAATGTACTGATGTGCAGTAGCTAGGTGGTCACTATTAAAAAGGAGATACTCTTATTTTTACTCAAGAATTTACCTTGGATGACCCTCATCTTCTTTGCTGGAAAATTTCCTAGTATATTGGTTTAGGCTTTAATGCCTGATCCAGGGAGGTGGGGTTGGTGTAGACAAGCAGTGGAAAGAGAGTCCTGCAGGAAGGACTGAATGGGTTCAAGCATTGCCAGAACAAGATGTGCTGTGCCCCACACCACATGAAGGGTTCAGTGCTTAGAAACAGTAGCATGAAGTGCATTTTTTTGACTTGGGGTGGGAAGTGAAATGCTTTGGGAATGTTGAAGTGAAGTCAGGTGCCGATAGCTAAATAGAGGTTGTAACTGGTGAGGTCTTGATGCACGGTCTGAAAGAACTGCAGAAGGGAAAACAAGCCCTGTTCATAAAGAATCTGCCTTTCTTCAGGGTAAAACTTTTACTCTTCAGGAGTGGTCAGGATTGTTTGCTTACTGCTCCTCTTGCTACGCTGACTATGGATATGTGTGTAATTGTAGGTCAGAAGAATTATCGGTGTACCCTCTGTGACAAATCGTTCACCCAGAAGGCTCACTTGGAGTCACACATGGTCATCCACACTGGGGAGAAGAATCTGAAGTGTGATTACTGTGAAAAACTGTTCATGCGGAGGCAGGACCTCAAGCAGCACGTACTTACCCACACACAGTAAGTGAGCTCTGGGGATGTGCTGGGCCGCAGTCAGTAATGAAGCCTAATGGCCTGAGAATTTAATGTGCAAATATTTTGGCCCAGGGAGCACAGGTTCACCTTCTAAAACAAGGGAGAAATAAGTGTGGACAAATGCCTTGTTACTGGCCTGCTGCTGTTGGACTATTCTGGTGTTTGTTTGCAATTTTTTAATGACAGAGGAAATTCCAGGCATGCATCCTGTCTTGTGAAATAGCATTCTGGAGTGCTCATCACTACAGCTGATTTACGTTAAGTTCTCTGCTGAGAATTGTTTCCAAGTCACAACATGAGCCCTTAATACTGTCATTCTTACGTTTTAGTTAATTCTCTTACTCAGTTTGCACCTGGGGGATGCATCTCTTCCCAGCTGTTTCTCTCCACTCACCATTACACCCCTTTACTGGAACAGGCTGCCAAGGGAGGTTGTGGATGCCCCGTCCCTGGAGGTGTTCAAAGCCAGATTGGATGGGGCCCTGGGCAGTCTGGTCTAGCATTAGGTGGAATGGTTGGTGGCCCTGCACGTGGCAGGGGGGTTGGAGATTCATGATCCTTGAGGTCCCTTCCAACCCTGGCAATTCTGTGATTCTGTGATTTACTCTCATTCATGCACTTGTCTCTTCTGTGCAGGGAGATGCCACCCCCAAGCCCTCCTCCATTTCTCTGGAGGTCTCACCAGTCCTTCAGCCCTGCCAGGCCGGATCTTTCCCTTTGCTTTGCGCATTTTCTCCATCCTGTTTGGAATTATTTAAGTCCCTCCCTTAAAGGCTGCTTGCCTAAATCTAATCCCTCTGCTTGTTTCATTTTTCAGCATCTGGTTCTTGTATGCACTTGGAATCAGACTGTTGCTGCTTTCCTGCTGCCTAGGAGACAGCACAGTGCAGCAAGCATGAGAGAGACGAAGAGATTTGCTTTTCTTGTTCTTACACCAGAGCTAAGAACATTACTGGTGGGAGGCATTTTGCATAGTCATGTGCAATTTGACTGTTGCAGTCTGGTAAGCCTCAGCTTAGTATTTACAGCTGAGGTTTGTTAACACTCAGCAGCTTTGTTCTTTTTTTTTTTTTTTCTTTCCTTCCCTTCCTGTTTGTGCAGGGTGGAAAGAAGGGGGGGCTCACCCTTCCACCATGGCAACACCTTTGTCCTGCCAAAACATGGAGCTTAACCAGAGTTTGGTCTCACTTAAAAGGCAAACAAAAAAAACTTGCAGAATTCTTTTTCTTTTCTCTGATTTATCATCAGGAAAGATAAATGGTTGGTTGCAGGCTAAGAGTTGATCCAAAAAGTTTTACTTTTGCCAGGGGCATGGGGGAAGCAGAAAAGGGCTGTGTGAACATGCTGCTTTTTGAGAGAAAACAGTATTTACATGTCAGTGTTGTGGTAATGCTGTTATTTCTGCTTCAGATGCATTGGAACCAAGATTTAGGAACAAGACTGCCACTTGCACTGTCACCCCCCTGCCTACGATTTAACACATCAGCTGCCTTGCTGCAGAAGCAAACTAACTTTTTTCTCTTGCAGAGAACGGCAGATCAAGTGCCCCAAGTGTGACAAGCTGTTTCTGAGGACAAATCATCTGAAGAAGCATCTCAACTCACATGAAGGAAAGAGGGACTATGTCTGTGAAAAATGCACCAAGGCTTATCTAACCAAATATCACCTCACTCGCCACTTAAAAATATGTAAAGGCCCCACATCCAGTCTGTCAGCCCCAGAGGAGGAAGAGGAAGATTCAGAGGAGGAATTGATAGACTCACTGAGGACTGAGGACTGTAGGATTAACAATGGAGTCTACTCAACTGGTGATGCCCTCACAGGACACAAATGAAGAAAAGGGAGAGGGAAATTTTTGTGGATGTTAAAATGGGGTAAGGAAAAAACTGCAGATCTCTTCCTTGTTTCCCCAGTCAACAGCGTATGTCAAATGAGGAGTATTCCTTTCATTGTGATCTCCCCACTACCACCACTTAATAAACTCTAGCCAAAACACTGAACGAGAATGGATCATGTGCTTAAGCTTGAACAGTTGCTAGAAAGGAAATATGAGGAACAGATTTTTCACACGTGCTGTGCATACTCAGATAACCCACCCAGTGCTGGGATACATAACACACCTTGCATTGTCCTTCGAGGGAAGAGCCACAACCCAGAGATGTAGATGAGTAATGGCCATGACCTGTAAGCCATCTTCTCCTTAACTGAACTGCCACAGTCCTGACAGCAAGAAAAACAAACAAGACAAAAAAAAAAATGGTGGTAGCAGTTAGTTGTATTTATCTTTTTAATACTTGTTAACTGAAGGATGTGGTTTGGCACAGAGCAAAGAATGTCAGTGCTGAGGGCTCCTTCTAAAAAAAGAAAAAAATGCTTTGGTTTGGAGGCAGTGGAATCAACAGTTGTAGATAAAGCAATTATCCCAGTACAGCAGTGTTCAGAAAACCAAAAATTGGCTATTAGATATTACCTTCTCTCACTCTGATTCACAAGAGCATGTTGTGAAGAGGTAAGGACTGTACAGATCAGTAAGGAAGAAACTTACAGGTGATCAGACAGCGTTTACAGTATGTCCTTGTGTGCTGTAAACCTTTTACCACTTAGAAGTGATGGGAGGGTTTGCTGCTAATACTATTTATGGAATGAAAATGTATTTCATTCACTTGTTTTCTTTTTGGAAAAAAAAAATTAAAAATGTGGCTCTTTTCTAATGTTTTTTTTACATATTTAAGCATTCGGAAAAAAAAAAAAAAGCACTTTTTTTTCCATCGTATCTGCCTCTCCTAAGCGTTCCTGGGACAAGGCAGGGGCAGGAATGCCTCCACGAAGAGAGAAGACTAAAACAACTTGTCTCTAAACCTTGTAGGTTGGTTTTGTGGCTTGTTTGTTTCCGCTGTAAGTGGGGGGGACAGTGAGCTGAACTCTTCTCTGACAAGGTGCCTGGTTATCCCTGTTAGATTCTTGCCATGAACAGCCTCATTTCAGTTGTACCTCTCTCTCTACGTTGTATTGCCTGGCTTCTTTAAAGTCTCCGTGTGGTTTGAGCTTTCTGCTTCAAACCCAGAAGTGTACCATGCTTGCCCTCAAAGATCAGTGAGTGAGACAGGGTGAGAGATGATGTTTGGTCAAGGGAGAGCTGGGAGAAGTGGTGCCTATTTGCAGGGACACAATTTCTCACTAGAACAAAAAGCAGCTGCTACAGCCAGTAATTACAGAGGCAAAGCAACAACTACCCTCAAATGAGCTTAACATGAAGCATTTATTTCAAATGAAAGCTCGGAAAAGCTTGCAGTTTTTCAGTGCACAGCACATGACCAGAGGTGGTTCTGGTGCTTTTACCTTCAGATTCACCAACCCATTCACTGGGGCCTGGCAGAGTGAGGCATGGCTCCTGGCACATGCAAGAATTGTTTGTTGGTTTCTGCAGAGCCATTCTGAATACCTGGCACCAGCCTGGGAACAGCTGAACTGGCATCATAGAATCATTTATGTTGGAAAGAGCCTTCTGAAGCTGAAGTGAGAAGCAGGCACTTATTTCAAAGGTTAGGACAGAAACCTACAGCTCTACCTCTTCCCTAGAGGGGCCTATGCCAATCATTTGTCTGCTAATGACCAGAGGAAGTTACAATGAGCCAGGGTGGAAAGCAGCCATAACAGCTTGTAGACTGTGTGCGCTGACCCCACTGTCTGTGAGAGCAGTTGTTTTAATAACCAGGGGTTTTGCAGCAGTAGTGCTTTAACAGACACCTTTAATAAACACCTTCCAATAGGTGGCAAGGGAAGAACCTCACATGAGTTAAGAGTATCCATTTAACATCTTCTGGCCTACAGTAAGGCACCTGGTGCTCATTTTAAATGTGAGGAGCCTTAAAGAGGTTTCTGCTGCTATAAATCAACTGAGTGTCAACCTAATCACTGACTTAAAGGGAACCAGGGGAAAAAACCCTCAGTCATGGTGGGACAGCAGAGATGTTTCTGGTTTGATTTCGGTGGTCTCAAGTGATACATTCCACGATTCTACTCAGGGACTCAGACATACTACCTAAGAAATACTCTTAAGATTTAAAAAAAAACTTAAATATGAAAAAAGCTTAAAATCTGTATTAGAATTTTAGTCAATCCATCTCAAATTAAGGATAAGTTATCTGACTATTTACAGCTGCCATTTCAGCCAACAGTTGTGTAGCTTTGTTCCTTAACACCATCAGGAGATATTTACCTTCTTTGCAATATTTGACAAACCTCTGGCAGCAGAATGCTTTCCTGGCAACGATTTCATCTTGTATATCAACTCCACACCCAGCAGCCCCTAATTCAAGGATTGCAAACTCAAGCATATGGAAGTGATTCAGTCTTTTGAAGCTGGTGAGAGAGGCAGAACTCGCAACTGCAGATTTGGGAGCTGACCCACGTATCCATGTTTCTTTGAGATAAAGAAGCCTGCAGTTTGCACTTCCACAAACGCTCTCCAAACAGGGGAATTGGTAAAATACACCTGAGCTGTAGTCCCTTCAGTTACTTTGATTTTGTGAGGTTTGGTCCATCATGATTCCATCGCCGTCTCTGAACTGTTGCTGCTACTACCAGCCAAGGAGCTGCAAGCCACAGAGTCTGCACCAGCCAGAACAAGTCTCTCTCTGTTTCCAAAAACTTCATTCACTGCAACACAGGTAAGGGATTGCTTACATGTTACTTTCTCAGAGACAAGAGCACAGCGAAGCAAATGCGACAGAATGGAAACCCTCACCTGATGCAGTTTCAAAGCCTTCCCCATTACCCAGAGCAGGGAGTTGTAAGCTCACATGTCAGAACAATCTGTTTCCCCATGTACGATAATTGAATTACAAGTCACGGTATTTCTCCCCCAGAGAATCTCTAGATGTTTCCCTGTGTGTAATTCCCTTACTGAAGCACTGTGAAATGGATGAGTTTTGTACAGCAAAACAGTTTAAATTATTTATTTCTGGTTTTACTCTCTCTGGGTTCCATCAAGCTCTTAAAAGCCTCAAGAAATTCACACCATTTAGCTACATGCAACTGAGACAACTGATCAAAACCAGTCCTCACTTCTGTGCAGTGCTTGTTTATACCAAGAACATTAAGAAAAAAGGAAGACTGTGAGCAATGAGGTATTAGATTTCAGTTACAAGAAAATAAATTGTGGCAAATACAGCTCTCCAAGATGAAAAAAAAAAGATATTTTTAAGCTGGTAGTGTGAAAACATTCAGTCTTTGGGTATTTCTTTAAAAGTGTCACTCAGAGCAACGCTGCATTACTGTATATACAGATACACCCTGGGGGCAGAGCCTCGAGATCCCAGAAAATGAGAACATTACCTGCAGAAATGCTGCTTATATCCCAGACACGCAGCCCTTCTCGTTCTCCTCCAAAGGCAAAAACAAATGGGAAGTCAGGGCAGCAAGCTGCGCAGAAGAGAACACCCTGGGAAGAAGGGAGAAAAAGTTTTCATTTTTTTTTTTTCCTAAATATCATGTTAAAATGATTTTATCATCTGAAAATACTTCTGCTGGGCAAGCTATAACAAATGTAAGCTCTTTGTTTCTTGAAACTTAACTTTGTGTCCTTACAAAATCATTGTAAGAGCTGTTAATTGCATTTAACAAATCACGTATTCATCTTGAACCTCAAAGATGCATGCTGGAGAACTAATAGTCCTACTGCAGAATGCTGTATCTGACATTCAGATCCAAGGCTTCAAAGCAGCCTGCCTATTATGTCTTGAACTGAATACTGTGTTGTAATGAGGAACGTTTTACCCAGAGTACAGAGATGTCTTATAGAAACAACAACAAAAACTCCACATTACACAAAACAAGATTTAAATTAGAAAACAGATTCAGCAGTTATACATACACCTTCTTAGAAGCAAGAAATGTAATCAAAGATTACCATTTTCATATCCCTGGAATGGATTAAACTTGGTTTGCCTCCCAGGATATCCCAAATTTTCACATATTTGTCAGCAGATGATGTCACAAGGCACCCTTTGACCTGACTACTTAGTTGTAGCCCTGGAAGATATGAACGCATCAGTGTAAGCGAAAGCAAAACAAACCTAATATTCTTCACACACTAAACTCAGTTCCAGTAAAACAAAGCAAAAAGTTAATGACAGTTTTATGCTACCACTGCTCTCTACAGCAACAGAAGAATCTTTTGAGAGCAAACATCATGTAGGCCTATTTTGTCTCTCAATGTCATGACAGTAACAGTGCAGAGCACTGACATAGCTTCTCACTTGACATAATCTGGCTTCCCCAGGCAGTTTTCTTCATTCAACTCCATCTCTCTAGTGATCTGAGATGATGGGACATACTGACATCTCATTTTGAGCACCTAATCAGGTACTTCCTTCAAGTTGCTTTTTAGAAGTTTCTACACTGGTGAAATGATTTAAGGAGTTGAAAGTAGGCTGTGTGGAAGCCTTCCCATGTGCCACATCTAAGTCACCATCAGAGTGAAATGCCAGTATAAAATATTACGATACAGAAGTTCTAGTTCATAGTCCTGGACCGCACTCTGCAGTTTCTGTCCTTTCTCACCCCAAAAAGCAAAGAGAGCATATCCCAGATGAACAAATGTGTTTCAGTATGCTTATTATTCACGATATTCACTGAGACAAGTTCACTGTTGTTAAAATACTTTGCTTACAATGGTTTTAAATGAAAAGAGCAGAGATTTCGATATTAGGAAATATTTCACTCAGAGGGCAGTGAGGCACTGGCATGAGACACCCAGAAAAGCCATGGGTGCCCTATCCCTGGAGCCTCAAGGCCAGGTTGAATGGGGCCTTGGGCAGCCTGAGCTGGTGGGTGGCAGTCCTGCCCATGGCAGGGGGTAGCAGTTGGCGGGTTTTAAGGTCCCCTCCAACCAAAGCCATTCTGGGATTCTGTGGTTCTCAGCACAGACGGTGTAATGGGCCAGCCATTCACTATTACTATGCACTAGTTTATTTTTTTGTTAAGCAAGGAATCACCACCATCTCAGTCACATCAGCTGAAGACTGATAAGCCTTACCACAGGGGCAAACACAAGGCACACATAATTTACCTGATACCTCTTCATCATGAGCCTTCAAAGTAAACAGCGGCTTATCAGAGCGAGCATCCAGGCAGTATACAAAGCCATCTTCTGTGCTTGCCTAAGGAAACCACAATACTTTGAAAGCAAACAGCTGCAGTCATTTGTTTAAAAATGTTCTATGCAGTAACACCCATTCTCTATTAAACCCCCTGTCAGCTGAGACAAATTTGCACTGCTTCTTAGTAAGACTCGTCCCCTGTACACAGCTCTTCACCTCTAAAGTCAGATTTCATACATCTGGAGCTTGAACTATTCTGTGTATATAAACTATGCTGCAGTGACTTCTATGGAAATCTTAATCGTATGCAAATTTCTTTAACTGTATTTTGTATTGAATACGGCTGCACTACTGAGCTCAGCACTGAAACACTGAGCTTTTTGTCTCTAAACTCAGTGCAAACTTTGGAGCCATCTAACAGCTGCCTCACAGACCTACACAAAGTGAAGTGTAATCATACTGAGAGAAAATACAAAAACACAGCTTAAATGAAGCAGCCAACAGGCCAAGAAGAGAAGAGAATATACTCACTAAGAAATTACAAGGTGAAAAATGATTCCAAGTTACTCTTTCAACCTGACCACTAAACCGCCAGATTCGATGGTTATCTTGTGGGCTTCTGCAATCATACAGCACAGCTGATCTGTGGGAAAACAGACAGGAAAGGAAAAAAGCAAAATCACAACAGAACTCTGTGAAGTTCATTTTACTACTGGCACCTACAGATGGTCCTTGGATGCTTTACAGGATGAATCCACAAAGGCAGTCTGCTGGTCTACAGACAGTGCACTGGCATGTAGGTGGCCAGGGGGTCAAAAGGAGAGCTAACAACAGATCAGGATGCTGGTCTGAGTGCTTGGAGATTTTTTCTTATTTTTTACAGAAGGAATTTTGGAGTGGAAAATGGGCAGAATCCAGCTCCCAACAACATGGGGTTCTTCTCCAGCGTAGCAAGTGCATAACACAAGCCAGACAACATAAAGCCCAACTTAGTCTTACAGATTGGAAAAGCCCAGAGAAGTTTACAGGGGGATGAGCAGAGGTACATTTTTACTGCAGAAAAGAGAAAGACAAATTAAGAAATAAAATCAGTTTGGAGCAGATGCCTGGCACAGAAAATTTCAGTCCAGATGGTTAAAATATTTGGCTAAGCTGAGAAAGAGGGAAGGAAAGCTGTATTTTGGCCACGTACAAATCTGGCTACCTCACTGGAAAGAAATAACAACCTTACTCAAATCTGGCACTCTTAAAAGCAAATTAAAAGAAAACCCGAGGCAAATTAATGGGCTTAAGATGGGCATTAACCCAGGGCTAAGTGTAACATTTAAAAACATTACTCTGACATACTTATCGTAAGATCCGGAAATAAGGGTCTGAGTTTCAAAGGGATGAAACTGCAATGTCTGGACCTAGGTGACAGAAGATTTTATTAAAGAATAAGCATTAAGATAGAATCATAGAATCACCAAGGTTGGAAAAGACCTCTAAGATCATCCAGTCCAACTGTCTACCTATCATCAGTATCTCCCACTGCCTTTGTCAAAGGCAGTGACTTTGCTAACAGCAAAATATATAGCTATGAATAACTAACTTCCACATTCTAATTACAAGATTAATTCATTTCCCAAATATCCATCACTATGGAATTTTGGTATCGCTTATTTTAAACCTTTCTTACCTAGAACAAACTACAGGCCACACTTATTGTTTCCTTAAGCAAAGCTTACAGTTAGAGACTTGTTTTTTGAAGCTTCGTAGCAGCACTGTTAGATTCCCAATCTCTTGGACTTTTACACAAAAGGCATTAAAAAACAACAACAAACCAGGTAATTGGTGTAAGTCTCCCATGATTTTCTAATGAATAAGCTGATTAACACTTTTGAAACCAAACAGAGTTGTCTACAAAAGCAAACAATTCAGAAATGCAAAGAATTCTGCACAGTTGGTTGGAAAAACAGAGCTGCTGTTGTATGTGTTCAGTACTGAGCAACTACGAAAAAACTGCAGTATTTTCTCTGTGCTTTACACTGAAATAAACACAATCATTATTACGTACCTTGTCTGTGTGTAGTGTCAGGCTGGCTGCTGGTTTGCCCACAGACATATCCCACAAAATCACAGTACTGTCAGCAGAAGCACTTGCCAAAACATTCCTGATAATAAGCCAAAAGATAAGGTTTAAAAAATCTTACAGACACAAAACCTAATAATGGTCAAAAATCCTAAATATATGTAGGATCTGATTTGGAGATCAAGTATCATAGAATCATGAAATGGCTGAGGTTGGAAGGGACCTGAGAACCCTCCCAACCCCACCCCCTGCCATGGGCAGGGCTGTTCCCCATCAGCTCAGGCTGCCCAGGGCTCCATCCAATCTGGCCTTGAGCCTCCAGAGATGGGTCACCCACAAGTACACTGGTCTATATAATTAAAGATCTGCTTACATCTTCTCCCCACAGCACTTAAAAATATAATTTACTGGAAGACTTCATGAGCAAAACAAAGTGAGAAAGACTTCAAGTGCTTCCCTGTGTTTGACATAAAGATGGTATTTTTCAGCATTAATGCAACTTCAGTCTGTAAGCATATGCTTGCAGCCAAGATTCAGACAAATCTATTTTTAACAAAAAACGTAGCTCTCCAGTATCTGAGTGTTTATATAACTAACAAAGACCCAACACTGTACAACTTTTAATTCCTGAAAGCTCTATCGGTATCGTGGAGTTCATAACCCAGTGTATTACTGCACTGTACATTCCAGACACTTCAGCTCTTGTAGCTGTAATTTTGTGACTTATCTCTGTGCTATCACAAGACAATCACTTCTAAGCAATATGAAAGTTACGTCTGAGTCAGACTGATGGAATGATATGACACTGTACATGTGCATAATTTAAGATCAACAGACAACAACACTGTAAGAACACAACTTCTGCATGTTTATTGAATATCTATGAGCATGTTTCCTCCTTTGGTGCCTAGATGACAAGGAGCTTTAAGTAAAGGCTGACACCTGCTGATCAGAGAATGTAGAATTGATTGCGTGTATCTTCAGAGAATTTATGACAGCAGGAAAAAAAATTTAAAAAAAAAATTATCACCAGGACAGTTTCAAGACCCATCCTAAGAATCCTTTAACAGTTGATTCATTACAAACTACCTATGCAATAACGAGTAGCTTCTTTATTCCAGCCTGCACATCATCCTTAACCTCTCCCCCTAGATGTGCCTACTTTGTGTTCCTTCAACAGCACTACTTTATTGCTAACTCACTCAGGTAATTCCCACAGGTCAGAGGTGTGTCTATAGCGGTGCTATGAGGGCTTTTACAGTCTTTTCTCTTCACAGCTCTAGGGCAAAAGCCAAAGGAGAATAATACACAGCAAGGACTGTCTTCTATAAAGACACCTCCATCTGCTGAAATGCTGTTTTAGGTCACTGGCAGACTGGCCCAGACCTTGTGCTACTCCAGTTTGTTCATCTGGCTTAAATGCAGCTGCTTTATTGAATGGCTTGGAACCACCTTAGCTCTGCCCTCATCTGCATAACTTGGAAATAAAAGCTATCTGCAGCAGTATATAAACATTTATTATAAAAATAAAGAAGAAATCTGGTGTCCTAGCTTTGTTCTGTTTTGTTTTTTAAAGGGGCAAATATTTTTGAGAACTGATTCATTTCAGAACTGCTTTCAAGTTCAGCACTATACTGTATATATAAGGTTTTGAACTAGTGAAAAAGCATGCCTGATTAACTGTGTCAATGTGTACCCAAGCATCGTTCTTCAAATACCCCTTTACCTGCTTTGTTTATTCCATGAGAGATCGAGAACAGCATCAGTGTGTCCTTCCATTGTCCCTTCCTGAGATGAACCCTGCATAGGCAGATACAGCACAGGCAGACTTCAGAACGTTACAGCTTCAATGGAAATCAAGCAGCACAACAGCTTCTTTCTAAACTCTCCTGGAATTAACTTCTTTTCCCCATCAACTGCACTTTTGGTCCTTTAATTACCAGCTCCTATAAATTCTAATTTTAAATGGTTAAGCTTTGAAGGATTTTTCTAGGAGAACAACTGGAAGGCACCCACAAGTTATCCCACTCCTTCTCTGCTCTTTCCTCCAGGCTTTAACTATCCCTGCACAGAGCAATGAGTGTTTCAATCTGAAGTAACATTTACGAATGGTTATCTTTAATAGCAATTCTGATACCTCAGTCACTCTCTGGGTGTGCCTCTATGTACACACGCTATTTATCTCAATGACTACTTTAAACATGCTTCAGTTTCAGATGAATAAAGCTGACAGAGGAATCCAAACTAGCTGTGTTTTATTAGAGTAAACCTTGTCCCTTATTGCTCAATGCCATTTCAACTCCCTGAGTCACAAGCAAATAGCAGTTCCAGCCCCCTGTATACAACCAGGACATTATCTTCTGTAACCTGTCTAGACATCATCCTTCAACACAACAGGGGAAATTAAACCAGACTACCTACAGTTTTATTTTTTCCATTACAGGAAAGAAGTAAGAACATTATCCTTGCTCTAAGTTTCCTCTATTCAACCAGTACTTACTTTCTTCCCTTTCTTTTTCTTCTTTTTCTCTTTCTTGCTCCCCAGAGAAAAGACAGGTTCTAAACAGTCCACTATATCAAGGTCCCAAATATCAATAACTGGGGTCATGTTACCCACTGCAACATAATTTCCTGCGCACACACACAAAAACAAACCAACAACATTTAGAATTATAAAACAGCATATTTGGCAACCCAGCTACTGCATATTTCTTCAAGTAAAATTTCTATTTGTGTGCCAGAATTTTCTATTTGAACATTTTTGATTATTATAACTGAGAAGGACGAGTTTAAAACTGCTGAAAGCAGATGCTGCCAGAAGAACAACTGATGTGCTCCTTCAGTACACCTCCCCTTCAGTACACATAACTGTTCAAATGAGCCCTATTAAAGCACCACAGGAAAAGTGTTACTAAAAACATAAATATAGATGAATGTTACAACAGTGCTGTGCCATAATGAATTTGAAACCTTTCACTTGCAAATGTCAAAAAACAGAGTTTGCTTTGTTCTGCTAATTAACAATAGCTTAACTATTTCTAATTAAGCCAATATTTTAGTTGCATCACTTGTTATGCCAGCATCACTAAGGTAACTTATCACCAAATGAAGAGAAAAAAAAAAAAAAAAAACTTCAGTTTTTCCCTCTTAACATCTTGAGTTTATTTCTTAAGTTTCAGTGAAGGAAACTACATAGTAACAACATGACATTTATGTACTGTACTTTTCAAATACAAATACTTTTATTGGACAATTACAGTATCCTTTGTCATTTACCTGATGATTCCTCAGGATTGGGATCAAAATTCAACCACTCCAAACTCAGAGGATAAGCAGGCAAGATAATATCATGATGTACATAAAATGAGTCTTCTTCGTGATTATAAACTGAAAAAGATGTATGTGACATCAGTGAAGAGGAAAAGCAAGCAACCAAGATCAGCTCACCTCTGCAGAAAGAAGATATGGCAAATACTAAATTCCAAAGGAGATTTGAAATGCAAATTTTCAATATGTTCAGAGCTCCCAAGTAGAAGTCATAGCTTAAAGGACTGCTACAGCTCACAAAATACTACAAAACTAACACTGCCCTGTGTACTTCAGAGACAAAGTGAAAAGTTAGTAAAATTCAGACATCACAATGTGCATGACTTTATATTGAAGTGATTGTTTAAACAAATACTCTGTACCCACGATCTCAATTTTCTATATGAGGAGACACTACCGAAGGTTGAAACATTCATTTCATAGAAACAAGAAAAAGAAATAAAGTCCAGATTCAGTAACATGGGACATTAGATAACAGATGAACAGTTTTCACTTTGGAGGAAGCTGAAGACTCCAAAAAGCAACCTTATCTTCTACACAGCCACATGAAAAAAAACAAACAGGTTTCTCTGTAAGGCACAAATCTTACATTACTTACCATGGACCTCCAAACTACAGTAGTCTTTATCGACTCTGCCACAAAGGACAAGATTGTCATTGGGCTTAATCAAAAAGTCCTCCTGTTCGTATTGATCCTGAACAGTGAAAAGGAGAGGCAAACACATGTTAAGCAAAGAACACACACACACAACTGCACAAGTTCTAAATGCTGAATCTGTAAGAGTTTTTAAACATTACAGAAAACAACCAACACCCTGCAGCCCATCCACCCAAAAGCATCGTATAATGGTAGATGCAGAAAGGCAGAACCAGGTTCAGTCATGGGGAGGCTGAATCTATCTCTGAATACTACAGAGATAGTATTAATGTGGACGTGATTGGATTTAGAGAAGCGTTTCATTACCACGCATGAAACCATCTTTTGAGCCCATAAAGATGCAACCCATCACTGAAAAGAAAATCACCACCAGGATCCCACATTTGTAGCTTATTTCCCTTTGTCTCTCATGCCTTGAGCATCTACATCGTATAACAACGGACTGCACAATAAGTGCACTGAGGCACTGCTTCCCACAAGCAGGAAGCAATTCCCAGAGCATGAAAACATTGTCCACATTCTGGAAAATAGTTCCAGAGAAGTACTGCCTGCAGCTATACTGGCATTCAGCTGCACCAGAACAGATGTAGCCTCCATCCAGTTCTCATTGTTATTGAGGAATGGAAGGCATTCAGGGAATTTTTGTTAGTGGAAAACTAGCAACTGCATATTAAAGTCAGTAGCCTTACAGAGACTGCCATCCTTCAAATAAACAATGCATACGAGACTTTTTGGGCAGCACGTTGCAAGCTTTCAATAACTACTTCTTCATTCACTCCAAGTATTTTTTGATATTTGCATTCTATCAAGTATTGCAATTTTCTGAATTGGTCCATTAATACTGTACAGTACTTAACTCTTCAACAGTGGTGGTAGCAAACACCAAGAACAACAAAATGCATGCCGGAGCACCAGAAAGTATCCTTAACAAACACAGATGGATTTCTTCAAGCCACAATGCTGATTTGACACGATTACTTTGCATTTTAGTTGTTTTCTAAACTAGCCTGAGTTCATCTGGCTGGAAGGAACACGTAGGAGTCTTGCAGTCTGGGAAGCTGTCTTATTAGGATCATTAGTGACCTGAGATTTGTTATTTCTTCAAGCATTTTAGGTGTCCTATTAGCTAGCTCTCAAGCTAGCCCTCCATATACACGAGTACATGTCTAAAATCGTGAGTCAGTTCACCTCAACATCTAACTTAAACATAAAAAGCACACAAAGAGGATTGCACAAAGCAATCTTAAAAGAAAATAATTCTGTCTGAGCACAAATCTGGCAAACTTTTTAAAGGACCGCAAGCACCCTAAGGCAGCTTGGGAGGGTAGAAAACCTAAATGAATTCTAAGTTCATGCTGTTTCAGATATTTAATATTTTTACAGTACTTACAGTGTTTTTCAGAGTGATATAAGGATCCTGATCGTTGCTTCCATACACTGCCAGACCAGCCAAAGTCTCTCCAAGTTTGGTATCACCTACGTGGGAATTTCAAAATATTTCTCATACGTGTCAATGACCACCCAGTCAGAAACTCCCACACCACTCCATGCACTGTGAAATATCAGGAGTGGGGTACATGAACTTCCAATTTTCAAACAGGAGAACCTCAGCCAGCTCCACTGTTCAGTGCTGCTCTGCTCAGCACAACAGCAGGGGGAGCAACAGCCCTTCCAACACCACCCAGTACTAACACAGCAAGGAGCGGACATGGGGTTATTTCACTCATTAAATCACTTTCTAAATTGAGACAAGCAAAGAATTCAAAATGTGAATTTCCAGCACTTTAAACTCAGCAGTATGTGGTTTTAATATACTTGTGTCCTAAGCATAAAAAGAAGTGAAGAACGTTCTTAATACATATCTGACCTTTCAGTTTCTCTTACCTCCATCTTCCTCTTCATCATACTTGTCTAAATCATACTCAGCCAGTTCATCATCAGTCAGCTTTTCAGCACTTTCCTCCTGCTCTTCATTGTCAGGAGGTGATTCAACCCTGTCAGCAATGGCAACATCCATGCCACCTGCTGGCTGGCCTTCATCTTCTTCATCGCTGCCATCAGAGCCCTCCCTGTTTAAAGACACATCCCCTGAGAAATCCAGACAGAATGCTTCTGGGAGACTGCTCAGCAGCCTGCTAGCAAGGCTTCAGCACATAGAGTCCTGGCTGTTCACACAGACTGTATTACAACCTTTATGCCAATCACTTGAAAATCTATCCGCTCCCTTCCTACCTCTCCCCGAAACAGAAGTCACTGCTTTCTCAGCCTGCCTTAGAACTGCGATTAAATTTTTTTCTCGCATATTTTCCTGACAAATATTAGCAAGCATGCAGAGGAGGGCTGACAAAGACAGTGAAGAGTCTGGAGGGCAAAGTGTATGAAGAGCAGCTGAGGGCCCTGGGTTTGCTCAATGCAGAGCAGAGGAACTGAGGGGAGGCCTGATGGCAGCTGCAGCTCCTCACAGGGAGCGGAGGGCAGCGCTGAGCTCTGCTCTGTGTGACAGCGACAGGGCCCGAGGGAACGGCATGGAGCTGTGTCAGGGGAGGGCAGCTGGGGGTTGGGGACAGGGTCTGCAGCAGAGGGCGGTGGGCATGGAACAGAATGCCCAGGGCTGTGGGCACGGCCCCAAGTGCTGGAGTTCAATGAGTGTCAGGGCAGTGCTCTCAGGCATACAGTCTGATTTTTGGGTGATGCTGTGTGAAGGCAGAAGCTGTACTCTGATGATTCTTGCGGTCTCTTCCAACTCAGGATATTCTGCTATTCTGTGACAATGCATGATTTCAAATGAGATCCACCAAACAAAATTTAAGTGTGTCTAAATCATTTATCTTGCCCTCCTTTTGCGAATGCCATTTTTTCAACCTCTACTCTGTATGTTTGCAGGTGTCTAATTCCTCCCCTTTTTTTTTGCCCCCCACCCATAAGCCTTGTCACGGACAATAACATCTGTATTTCTTGAAGATTTTTAAGACTACACTTCCTCATACTTCCCATACTTGTATTAGAAGATAATAAAACATAAAGCTCACTGTATAGGGGCATGTTGCAGGTCACTCCTTACAGAGCAAGGTTTGCAACATCTCAAGAACTCTGAACTTTCATGGCAATGATTCAGTTTGCAGACTGGATATTAGAAAAGCATCTTCTCCAAAAGAGCATGATGTTGGAGTGGCACATGGAGGTGGTGCAGTCACCATCCCTGGAGGTGTTCCAGAGCCGTGTGGACGTGGCACTGAGGGATACGGTCAGCGGGCATGGTGGGGATGGGCCGGTGGTGGGATTAGGTGATCTTAGAGGTCTTTTCCAAGCTTAACAACTCCACGACTCAGAGAAATCAGCAAAAGGGAAGCCTCTCCCAAACGCTGAAGATGATTTTGGAACGCCCACCTCCTCCTGCCCCCCCCCAGCACCCCGGGCTGCTCGCCTCCCAGCCACCAGCCGCCCCCCGCCCCGAGGTCCCCGCTCACCGCAGCCTGCCGCGGGCCTCCCCGACGAGCCGCCTCAGCTCTTCCCGGCTGAGCTGCACCTGCGGGCGGACGCACAGCACCGTGAAGAGAGGGGGAGACCAAAGATCCCTCAGGGGGTCCCTCAACCCCACCTCACCCCTACCTTATCCGGCGTCTCCTTGGCAACGCCGCGGCGCACCCAAGCGGCGCACGTCACCGGGCAGCTCATGGCGGCGACACGTGCGCAGGGCCGCGGCGCACGCCGAGTGACGTCAGAGGGAGGGGCTCCGCCTGAGAACCTGTGGGAAGAGCGAGGGGGCGGGACTTGTTTTTGACGTCATATCTGTGCGCCGGAAGTGACCGGAATGTCGTGGAGGAGATGGCAGTAGTTCTCTGGGGGCGGTGCTTTGGGGCCGGGCTTTGGTAGCGCCCGGCTGCCTGCTGGCAGCTGTAACGTGTGTTGTGCCTTGTGCGGTTTCCCATTGTGTTTCCCCGTGGTGTTGTGCTTCGGCGCTGAAGTATTCTAGCGGTAATCCCCCCCAATCAGAACACAACAAAAACCCCAGGCTGCAGTGATTTAGCACAAGGATCTGTGTGTCAGCATCCGTACGTGCCCTGAGCTGTGTGCAGCTCGCTGAGTGTTAGGAGGAGTGTGTAGGTTACTTTGAAAGTAATGCCTCCTGTTTATTTCCATGGGAATTGTAACAGCTACAAAGAGCACAATAACACTAGTTGATAGAGCAAATTCTCATTTGTTAAGCACTTTTTCATAGGAACTGATAGCCAGTGGCATAGTCACCACCAGTGGCTATGCATTTTTGCCAGCAATGAACAAGAGCATGCATGCTGTACATATAAACGTCTGTGTGGCTGGCTGGAGCATGGCTCATCTTTCATATGACTGTCATCACATCCACTGTTTGGTCTCCATCAATGTTCAGCAAGCGTCAGTGAATGTCAGTGGGTGCCATTTTTCCATATGGAATCAATCATAGAATGGTTAGGGCTGGAAGGGACTTTAAGATGATGTAAGTCCAACCCCCCAGCTATAGGCAGGGACACCTCCCTCTAGACCAGGCTACTCAAAGCCCCATCCAGCCTGGCCTTGAATGCTTCAAGGGTGGGGGCATCTGCAACGTCTGGGCTGCCTGTTCCAGTGTCCAGGTACCCAGGGTTAGGGAATGAGCATTTATTGTGGTAAGACTCAAGGACTTGGCATCTGAATTTCAATTTGGCAGGTAGAGTGGCCATGTCACCTAATCCATGTCCCCAGATAGCACCACTGTCACATTTTCTTTAGTTTGATTCTTCTGTGGTTCTTGCACGAGAGAAAAATAATTATCAAAATATTGCTGCCTGCCTTGGTTCATTTCACCCATTTGCTGTATTTTGTCTTAATGTAGAAGCAAAAGCTGTATCTGGTTATCAGTTCCTCGTAGCGTGTGCATCCTCACCTAGCCTGGAGTCTGTGGTAGGGACTGACAGATACTTACCAGCCTTGAGTTTTGGTATGCTTTCTTTTTCTTTACTGTTATTATTTGTTTTGCTTGTCAAGTCTTAAAGTGTTCAAGAAATCCTTCTTGTCCTCCCACACATGGGTTGGCTGCAGCTTCACTGTCAGTCTTCCTCCAGATTCTGAGGCAAGATTCATGCAAGCCAGTGCTATACCCAAAGGACAGGCAGTGGGAAATGCTAAGCAGCCAAAAAAGAAAGGTTGCTTTCAGGGGATGTGGCTCCTGAATATGTTTTTTGCAGATATGTTCGTTTACACGGTGCATGGTTGCACAGCAAACCCTCAGCCAGACCTGTTTTTACCAAAGCAATACCCAGAGGGGGCACACATGCTCTATCTTCCTTCTCAGCACAAATGTAATTATAAAACAGCAATATTCTGTGGTGACACTTAGCAACAGAAGTATCAGAAAACAGATCTAAAGATGGAAGTGGGAAGGAAAATAGGTAACAAGTCTGCATATGGATTACAGATAACAAATGTAGAGTTAATAGTAAATAATTTTTCTTATTTGAGAGCCAGTCCATAAAAACTGAATAATTCCAACGTTTTCATCCATTATGTGGTTACTGGAGATGTGGAGCTGGTCTTCTGTCTTCTTAAGAATAGAAAGACCACTGGGCTGATTTTTGCATGCATCATTGTTCCACAGTGCCTTGGTAATTACAGAGATGGAGTTGAAAGTGTGCTGCCCCAGGCAGGAAGCTCCCCAAATTCACTTGGGACAGTGACTGAGCTCTAGTGAGATATGGCCCACACACCCCAAAGAACAGCCAGGATGTCTCAGGCTTCTTGTTATCCAGTGTCCAAAGATAGTTTGTTCACAGAGGTGTGAGACTTAAGGGAGAAAGCAGATGTTTATTTCTTAAGTTTGGATGGAATTCTTACACAACCATTGGGGGAAATTTGGGATGAACCTAAAAAGTTGTCTCAACTATGAAGAATGATACATAGATGTCAGAAGTTTGAATTGCTGCTGGGTGCAGGAAATGGCCTTGAAGTCTGGTGCATACAACGGGAGACAAGGGCTCCAATGGCTGTCCCAGGAAACATGCAAGGACCAAGTTCAGTTCAGCACTCTAACAAGAATGTTCACCAAACATTCCTGTGCTACAGTGTGTTCTGGACTGGTCTTTCCTAAACCTGAGCTTCCAAAACTTAAAGGCTTCCCCCTGCATCACTGATCAATCAGAAATGGCAGTATGTCTCCCCCAGAGCTGGTTTGTACCTGAAATCTGTTTTAGACCCATTTATTAACCTTGCATGAGCAGAGCTGAATTTCATTTTCTCCTGAGGGATCTCTGCAAAGTAAGGCGAGACTTGATACCGATGAGTTTCACTGTCTCAGTTTAGTCACCTCTTCTGCTGTCAGCACCTCCTGCCTGTCTGAAGTGAAAAGCAGTAAAGCTCTGTCCCTATTTCTGGATCTGCTTATGCAGAATTTGAGGCATTTGACCTACCCCAACCTTCTGCTTTTCATCTGAGGAGGAAAGTGCCACATAGTTCTCATCAATAGGAAATGTGTGTGTGTTTTGTTCCAGGTGGCATCAAAAACATTCAGCAAAGTTCAGCTGGGTGATGGAACCCAGCTGAGCAGAAGGACCTTTTGTTCCGGCATGGATTTACCAGATCAAGAGAAACAGTATCAATTAGGAAAATCAATGGGTCCTCTGAAGGGAAGGGTCAGCCTCTTTTTGGGGGGACATGTCAAGGAGCCCAGAGAGCTACAGTATTACTGTATTTACTACAGTAAAGGGTGGGGGAGATAAGAGAGCTTGTCGGTAAAGAAGTGATGCAGAAGCCACTTGTGCCAGCAGGCTTTCCAGGAGTGGTTTGAAAATTGCAGAGAGGATGCTCCAGTGTCCAGACTCTGCAAAGGTCTTGAAATACCTTGAATTGTGAAACTGCCAGAGACACTGTAAGCATTTCCAATATCACAGCTGGAAGGTACTACGAAGCCATGAAATGGTGCATACTGCAAATCATACAGACTGAGAGCAAGAAAACAAAGGGAATTTTCTATGTTTTGAGAAGTTATGCTGTAAGCTTATGGCTAGGGTTCAGCTGACCTCTTCAGATGAGAAGAGAGTAAAGGGACTGATACACTAAGCATGCCACCTCACTCAGAAGAAAATTCCTTTTCTCAAATGAGCTGCAAAATATGTGTTGCAGTCCCAGGTATGCTGAACAGCTAAAAGCAAAGTCACAACATCAAGAAATACTCTAACTTAAGACAGATATAAAGAACTACTTACAAGTGGATTTGAAACACCAAGGGTAGCCACAAAAGTCCTCAAGGTTACCTTTTGATTCTCTGTTTGCATTCCCTGGGTGTTTCCACGAGATAAAGAGCATGAATTTGGAGGAAACCAAAGGAAGATCAGTTCTCAATAGGGCAGCATCTTGTCAGGGGAGAGAAGTACACTGCTTGCACATAGCAGCATAGCCTGGAGGGAAAAACTCTTGAAGTGATAGCTAGGCATAAAGTTTTCAAGTAGTTGAAATAGAGCTGCTTTGTTGTTTTTCTTTTTCATTCACCATCTCCTCAAAGAGTTGTCTGGGAAATCACCAACCTCCTCACATTAGAAGATAAAGCATTCGTAGTGCAAGGCTTATTTTCCCAAATCTTAGATTTGTTTACCTTTATGAAATAAACCAGATCCATTCCTTATCAATTAACTATAAGTTATAGTTAATATAAGCAATAAGTATGATCTCAGTGTGAGCCAGATACACATAAAAGACATTAAATGCCTACTGGAGCAGTAAATATTCTATGTGAGAAGTATTGCTTATGGAGCATCTGCTTTCCCAAATTGTGTGCTGACAGTTTAGATGTAAGAATCCCATAATCCCAGCAATAGCTGCTGTAAGATACTGCTGGAGTCAACATGAAGAGAGAAATGCAGTCAGCGCTCCCTCAGCAAGCTGGAGATAGGCATGCAGGCCATGGAGAACAGTCATGTTTGCCATCTAATTGAGAAAAATGACTTTAAATATATTGGTAGAAATCCAGGAGGGAGGAAAAGATGAGTGTGGGAGAGGAAGAACCGAGAAGTACGTGAAGGTGGACACAGTCAAGGCATGCCATTCTTGGCCAACTCGCAGAGAATGAAGAATGTTGAAAATAAGGATAGAATGATACAACATGCTAAGGATTTGTTAGTAAATGAAAGTCAGCAAACATATGGGTATGGGAAAACCCAACTGGATGTGCTCCAAGTGCTGAGGCTCTGCCAAGTTTTCCAAGTTTTACTCTATAATTGTTATCACGGACAGTGGGGAGTGGAGCCTGCATGCCTTTGTTTCAGTGTACATGTGAGTGAGCATTTGCAAGGAAGGGGAACATGCGAGTGTGTCAGGACAACATCGCATCTCCACAAGCAGATGCACTTGTGAACACACAAAAAGATTCCCACCTCTCCAGCTGTGCTGCACCATGGGAGCAATGGGAGATACAGGACAAGTGGTTGTGTCTGTGGTTGGACACACTACTTCAGCATCTAAGTATATGTCATTACTGATTGCTTCAAATACCCATGCTTTCAGGAAGATCCTAGCTACTTACACAAACCTCTGGGCTTGTAGAGCAGATGGGCCAAGAAGCTCTTGAGAGACAGTGGGGCTGTCCTATGTACGGCAGATTCCTGAGCTCCAAAGGTGTTTGTTCATGGACATCATTTGTCTTGTAGGCCTAGATCTTTGTAACAAAGCTCAGATAGCCAGCCCAAACTTGTATTCTGCAACATCTCCCTTGAAAC